AGCACAATTGCATGTTCCTCTGCCTGAAAAGGGCCTAAAGATGGTTGCTGTTTTTAAGGTGCCTTACACTTTTTGAATATCTTTTGTAAGATGATTTTTTTTGTTAGATTTGTTTTGATGCAAAGCTTAGTCAATTGTGAAAAGCTCTTTGGTAACCTGTGATGATGCAGAATCTGATCACTCTGGCTTTAGGTCCATTCTCAGTTGCTGCTGCTTATGGATCAGAAGGTGAACTGAATGCTGAGTGATAAGATCTGAATTAGTTTTTTTATGCTTTGTACTTGTATTTTGTGGTCTAAATCATCTCTGTTTGATTTTTGTGACACAAATACTCCACTATATAATAGGGCCACTGGTTTTCTGAAACCTTCAAAATGATGAGAATTATTTAGAATGTTTTTTTTTCTTTGCATGTAAAAATCCTTATTTGCAATATATGTATTGTAGCTTCTTCCACATGTCATTGAAATAATGTTGAGCATTTTATCCAGAATGACATTTCTGATTTTTTTCTCACCTTATTTTACAATTTACATGTACATGCAAAACCTAAATATCGTGTAGTTTACATTGTTTACAAGAATGACACCCAGGTGTTTCAAGATGAAGTTTTATCACTCAGAAGTAAAAGAACAGTTCTAAAACACAAAAATAGGAAGTAGTTTATTTTCTCATCTCTAATTTTGTTTGGATTGCAGAGTAGAATGTTTCAGGGGATTTCATATTCTTTCCAGCTCCTGAGATCATGGCCATCTACACAGTTTCAGTTCAAGACACCAGCTCTAGTACTCCTGGCCTAGTCTACACAACAGTTGATAGCACAATCCTCAGTAGCTGTATCCAGCCCTATATCAGTGAACTGGATGGTCTTATTGCCATTGTTGCCGCTAACCTGACAAATCAGTGTCAAGTTATTACTGGGCTATCAAACATTTACATAGAAGTGAACCAATCTACGACTGTTTCAAATGTGGTTGGCAGGCAGGTAAGGATAATGTTATTGGGTTATTTTTTACATGCTATAAGTTAATTGAACTTTTGTTGGAAACATTTGATTTGCCTGAACTTATCAAGAATGCATAAGATGTTTTTTGTGATTAAAATAACTTAAATCTGCAATGATTCAGTATAGTAGCTATAGGCGTGTAGAGCAATTTGTTCATACTGACAATTCAAGGTCAAAAATGAATGATTCTCAAATACATATGAATGACATTACAAATTATAAATTATTTTATTTCAAAATTTACACAACATTTGAACATATATACTATATGATATCATAACTCTGCGCAAAGTTCAGACCCCTACCTACTGCAGTTTGTCAGCAGTGCCTTTTAAGATATGAAAATAAACCCTATTTCATTGATTTCATGAATTATGAGTCTAGGCTAGTTGCCCTTTTGTCACCCCTGACTTAGAAACGTTTGGAATCTAATTTGAATTCTAATTTTCCAGCTAACAGTGCCTCTCACTTTAAGGATTTTGCCATCAAATTTGCCGAAAGTCAGTGTTCTTGACTGTGTAGCTACCTTAGATAGTCACATAAGATATCTTGAGTCTGGAGCTATGGATAGATTTATGGCTGCAAGAGCCTTAGGTTTTGTGCCAGCTGTAGACAGTTGTGGACAACTAAATCTACCCAGTGGTTCACGCTATGAAGATGTTGGAGGATTTGTTTGTCCAACCAACTTGGTTAGAAATGACCAACTTTGCTGTAAGTTTCTTTTTTACCTTGTCTACTTGAGAGTTGAATGATTAGTATTTTGTGTGAAAAAATAGCTAAATGTTAAGTATTAAATGAGCAAATGAGTTTGATATTCTTACACAGTTAAAAAAGTGAAGTAAAGATGTTTGAAATCTTGAAACTATTGTAATGGACAAATGTTACCATGTGTGTGATTATGAGTTTGATGTCACTACTCTGAATTGTTAAAGGCATGCTTCATTTATTTTTTTATATTATTCTATATTATTTTATATAATTGGTTTTATTTTTTCCACAAACATTTTATTCAGTAATTGTATTTTACAGTACCCTGTCCTACTGGAACCTACCGGGATGGAACAGCTTGCACCCCGTGTAGCCCTGGCCAGTACCAGGATGAACAGGCACAGACTCAGTGCAAGAACTGTCCTGACGGGTTCACATCTTTATATGCAGGGAGCAACAGACTGGACCAGTGCATAGGTGAGGCTTTGCTGGCTGCAAGAGCATGGGTTATAAGACATATTATGCTAGACTGTTATATTTTGTTGAGTTTAGTATAACAATAATAATAATTTATCCAGCTTGAATATAATAAGTAAATATAATGAAATATAAATAAGAAGTTGGCCTGAGACATCCAGTAGAAGTTTGAAATAAGTGATATAAGAGAAGATTGATTGTTAGCCCACACTAGTGTGCCTGATTTGGTCTTAAGTGCAATTTCAGATCACAAATGATCTTACATGGTCTTAATCATTACAGCAGTAGTCTTATAATGGCCTGAATCTGCTTTTAAGATAAAAAATAATCTTATATCTGCTTAAGTGGTCAAGCAATTTCCTTCCCTCACAATGGGGGAAACCTCCCCTCACAATGGATGACACCTCTGCTCACAAAAAGAGAACATGTGAGGGGAGACATGACAACTTAATATGAAGTCAGTCCAGTTATAATCTTACTCATGGTTTAAGACCATGTAAGATTGTTTATGATCTGAAATTGCACTATAAGACCAAATCAGGCGCACTAGTGTCACCTTTGTAAACATTTGACATCATCATTTATATTTGTAGATTGACATAGCCATTTTATGAGCAGTATTTTTTCACATTTTCCAAATTTCTTGCTGTAAGTTGGAAATAAATTCATTTATACCTGTACTTTGTTTACCGATTGGGGCATTCTATTTACTTCACCTTGCTGTACCCTTGTAGAGTACTGTTCAGAGGGGATGATATCAGATACAGGGTTGGCCCCATGTACCATGTGCCCTGCTGACACTTATTTCTCTAACCATACCCACTGCGCACCCTGCCCAGCAGGCACCACCACAAATGGAGTAGAAGGCGCCAAGAACTCCTCAGGATGCAAGAGTAAGTATTGGGGTGAACAAAGAAGGTATGATATTTTTCCGACTATTGGCAGATTTCTGAGTTTTGGTGATGTTGGTGCTTATATTAGTAATGAAATTTTTCTGATTACATGTATCAGCAGATTACCTTATTTTTGGGAACCAAATCTCTCATCCCTGACAAGAAAATGTGAAAACTGCATTTGAACTACTGTAATGATGCATTTGGAGGTTGTTGATTTGTTAATATGAAGATTATTATTGTGACAATTAAGATGATCAGGTATGATATTTTTCTTTACGCATCCTGTTACCAGTTTATAAATGTATAGCCTGAACTGATAAAATTATATAATGACAAAAGAAATGGAATACTAGATACAACTGTATGCCTGGATAATATTGTCATAATTGTGAATATTCCAGCTGAATGTAGACCTGGGTATTTCTCCTACAATGGGAGAGAGTCCTGTACTGCATGCCCTCTGAACTTCTACCAAAACAGCACGGGGAAGACGACATGTTCTCGGTGTTCCACAGACTCCGTCACGACCCAAGTGGCTTCCGATTCCATAGATAATTGCACCTCACAAAGTAAATTATCACTTTTATAGCAGATATTTTTTAGCTATAGGCTAACTAGGGTGATTTTAGGCCATCGCAATTAGACCTTGATTTGAAGTGTATGAAGAATTTACATTTAAACCAAATTGGACTGTATTAGACTGTTGGCATGGTACTATTGTTCTTGGAAAATATAATGGTTTATTTTCATTGAATCATCAGTAAAAATAGCAAATCCAGTACAACTATGTTGCACACATTAAATTTTTTGATAATTTATTCATTTTCCGGCCAAATGTTGTATGATTGTCATAGGTAGACTCTTTATGTTTAGAACTTTGTTTTGCCTATCTCTTCAGGTAGCTTGTGTACCAGGAATGACACATGTCAAAATGGCGGCACCTGCACTGTATTGGGTCATGTAGAACAGTGTCTGTGTCCTGATGGTAGGTGAACCTATCTCGCAACATTTAGTCTAATTAAATATCTTTGGTCAGCCTTCAAAACAAATTTCTCCTGAAAAGATGTTTAGCCATGGCAAATAGTTTTTAAACAGGTTATTTTTTCCGTTGTTGCAATTGATTATATTGCAAACAGGTTAAATCTTTTTATTTGCTTTTATCAAATTATGTTTGAGCAATGATGAAAAATGTACCTGTTGAGATGGAGTCAATTAGGCTCAAAATGTAGGATAAGAGTATCAGTTTCATGTATGAATTATTCTTTTTTTAAAAAATTGATTTTCTGACAATTTAAAGATATTGATAAATTTACTTTTAGTTCTTAGTGACTTGAATTATATCTGTTATATTACCTTATTTTACAGGTTACACAGGGCAGTATTGTGAGGACACCATCAATCCATGTGATTCCAATCCTTGTTTTTATAATGGTACATGCATGCCACTAGGGGGTCTACAGTTCAGGTGTGACTGTTACTCAGGTAAATTCACCACAACCCTATTGACAATATTTCATCACAGTTTATTTTTTCATTGCCCTAGTGAAACCAGCTTGATACCTTGTTTGTGTCTTTTGTAAAACTGGTTAACCTTGCTTAGTGGGATCTGGAATCCCCTGTGTTATTGCATATTTTAAAAAAGAGTGTTATAACATATAAGTCAATGGAAGCTTCCTCTATTCCTGAGCAAAAAAAGGCTGTTCTTTTCTATCCCTCACTCCATAATTTTTTTCAAATTTCAAGTTGGAAATGCTTAGTTAATTAATCATTTTACTTTAAAGTAGCACAGTTAGTTATTGTAGAAAAAATCTTCCCTACATTTTGAATTCCAGAGAGCCAATAAAAAAAACATATCCCCAGTTGCTTTATGAGATGAATAGGATAGCCTTTATTTCCTAATAATTATGAAATGTTGACCTAAGCTGATTTTGACCTAATCCCACGCCTGACATCCCTCTTTGTTTGGAATTTTGCTCTGTATCCTGTACTGATCAATGAGCTTTTCAACATTCTGGCTTCCTTGCTCTCCCCTCTAGCTATTGTGTGCACTATGGTTAATGAGACCAGCAACCAGACCTATAGTGGTGGGGCAGATGAAGCTTCAACAGTACCCAGCCTTGCAGCTTGCCGGGAGAAGTGTGTTAATAGTTCCCAATGTTCAGCTATCACCTTCTCTAGTTCCTCTGGCTCTTGCATCATCTTTTATGCCCTCTCTGGAAGAGCTCTTACTGCCTCAAGCCAGGCTGTTGTCACTTTTACCAAATCATGTAGGAATGTTTCAGGTAAGTAATGTTGATTTTGTAAATTATTTCCTAAGTATTATTTTGTTACAAAGCAGATCAAACAAACACGTTTTTTACATCCATTTTGTTATTCAGTTATTCTTACTGGTTATTTTTTATTGATTGTTCATTCTGTTGTTTTAACAATCAATATAAATGCTGGAGTTTCCAGAATTAATTTTTAATTTTAATTTATATTTCATACTTTGAAAGTGTTTTTTTTAATAATTGTTTTATAATAGTTTTATTTAAAAGATGCAGTCAAATTTTAACCAATTTATCTTTATTTTAGACTTCAGTGGACAATTTTGTGAGAGTGAAACTAATCATTGTTTGTCAAATGACTGTCAAAATGGAGGAATGTGTCAAGATTTAGTTGGTGGATTCAAATGTTTATGTCCATCAAACTCTATCTATTCTGGACCAAAGTAAGTCAGAAAAAGTAAAATACCAATCACTGAATTAACAAACCACAGCCCAATTGTTGTATCTATAATCTTTGCATAAATCTTTGGCTTGTAATGTTTCAGTAATTTAGTGCTGTCTGTCTATTCTGTATATTATGCAGTGTATCTACAAATAAACTTCAAACTTCAAAAACTGAGAAAAAATTAGATGATCACAAATGAGAGTTCTATTACATATGTATAATTATGGATCCATATTCCACATGTTAAAACTTAAAAACTTACTGTATCACATTAGATTGATACATCATATTATGTAAAGTATATGAACACAATATCTAGGTGCACAGACTCTACCCCAGTGTGTGATCAGCCAGCCAATGCCTGTCAGAATGGCGGGACATGTCGTCCAATCTTTGGGAACATCCGCAGTGTGTGTAACTGTGTGGCAGGATTCACTGGGAGGAACTGTGAGACCAACATAGGTACCGGTATAGCACAAATAGGGATAACTCATGTTTACCTCTGCACTATAGAAAGTTCATAATCCAACTTTGGAATTTGCTTAAGTAGAACGGTATGAAGATATTAGAAAGGTACTAATTTTTACTTTGTAAAGTTAACTTTAGGAAAAGTAATTTAAAATGGGTTGTCACAGCAAGGTGCACATTGTAGGTTTTTGATAATTTGATACAATATTTTACTGCCAGTTAATGTTTTCTGGAGAAGAAAATTTTGACCTCTGGAAGTTTACAGCAGTAAAATGTTCAACATTTCAGATGACTGCGAGGCCAACCCATGTCTAAATGGTGGGGGCTGTACAGATGGTGTGAACACACGCACATGTAATTGCACACATGGATATACTGGAGTCAACTGTGAAACTCGACTTGACATGTGTGCTGGGATAACATGTGCTGGCAAAGGAACATGTGTAGATGACTACACATCTGGGAGAGTAAAATGTCTGTGTGAACCTGGATATACTTCAGGTATGATATGATGACAGTGTTTAATAAACAAAGAGATGTGTAGACCATATGGCATAGATGATGTATGATTATATTTTTTTACTGCCAATCAAAGTGTATGTAAACCAGGTTGGACCATCATTTTTATACTGAATGCCACAAAATGTTCAAATTCTTCAGCTGCTTCTATTGTTATAGGGCTTAGTTTTTGGAATTTGAATGTAAACCCCATGCACCATATTTGATATGCACCACATAGACCAACAAGCAAACCACACCACACTCAAGTTTTAATATTGATGTTTTTCAGATTTCTACTGGACAGAGTGGCTGGACAATAGTCCCACTTCTGACGGGGATGACCAGACAGTACAGACTTTGGTAATATTAGATGTTATAGTGTATAAATTTTAGTCATTGTTGATTTTTTCTATAAGAATGATGGGTTGATGTGCAAATGTTTTCTAGAAGTTTTGTTCCTTTCTTTTGAAAAATTAAATTAGAAATAGAGTTTAAATTGAAATTAAAAATGGGTTTCTTATGGAATTTTTATTATATTTATTTTATTTAATTATAAATGAACATATTGATTGCAGGGGTCTTCTGTGTGTGAAGGCAAAGTTCCTGTAGAGATCGAGTGCCGTCTAAAGAACAATAAGACTGTCCCGTACACGTCTGCTGGAGACGTCCTCCAGGTGGACTGTACTCCGCAGGGGGGACTTCTCTGTCTCCATGGCAACCAGACTAACAACCAGACATGCTCTGACTACCAGGTCAGGTTCCGCTGCACAGGTGAGGAACAGGATGAGAGACCTGAGGGGATGACAGGGATTTTTTTTGTTTGGTGGAGTTTGCCAACTCTACACATTTATGCATATTCTACAGAGTTTTATTTTGGACAATTTTCCATTGTTTGTAGTTGTTATTCTATTATTAATTAGATGCTGGGCAAGAGATCTAGACATTATGTTTGCAATTTTGGTTTGCTTGTCGGTCTATGTATATATGTGTGTAAGTATGTGATTTAGATATTCATTCACTCCATTCACTCCCAGTCAGTGCAGCCTTACTTAGATTTTTTAAATGATATGTTTTTATTTATTAATTATGAAAAAAAATTACATGTTTACATGTTTTATCGAGTCTGGTCATCTGTCATATGTCTTTATTCTATTTGTGTAATTCTTTTGCTCGGATGAATTTTAAAATATTGTAGCTATTTTGAAAAGAATTAGACCTTTTTTTAGTTTGACAAAACAACAGGTCATCTGTGTTTTATTTTAGTGCCAGATGATACATGCAGGCAAATAAACCTGTGTAATGCAGAACCATGTGTGCGCGGCGCATGCACCCCAGGGGAGAACACTTTCACATGCACCTGTCCACCAGGCTATAACGGAGCAAGGTGTCAACATAACATTGATGAATGTGCGTCTGACCCGTGCTTGAATGGAGGCACCTGTATAGATGGCATTAATGGATATACATGTACATGTGCCACAGGGTTTACTGGTATGCAGTCTTATATTTTTCACTAAGAGAATATCATGCTTTTAAATATCTCAGATTGTAACTTCTCATGGTGTTAAATGATTCAACAAGAAGTTTTAAACAGTAATATAAAGCACTTATCATCATTTTCTGCATGTTATATAAATACCTGGCTCATATTTTGCTTTTCATATTTTTATAATTCAAAGATGTTTTTTATAATGCAAAGTGTTTCTATTCCACAGGTTCCAAATGTGCCACTAATATAGACAACTGTGTTAACAATACCTGTGACACTATGGGGACCCTGCGCTGTGTGGATATGGTGGACAACTATAGGTGTCACTGCAAACCAGGATACACCGATGTCAACTGCTCTGTAAGTCAGGAGCAACTTCTGTGAATGTTTTGGTGGATGAAGCACAGCTATTCTTATACTCAGAGACTAAGAGCCCATTCCCAATGAAACTAGCATTCCACATAGATCAATCCAACTCAGCAGGGAATCTTGTGATTTACAGATTAACATACCTCCTTTTGTTTCCAAAGTGCTCATATAAGCACCAGCATTTCCGTACAGCTACTCAATGACAGGAGGAGGTGTTAATCTGATTGCATTCAGCGAGAGTCCCTGCAGAGTTGTATCAAACTGAGTAGAACCATAGTTTTAAATAAAACAAGCCCTAAAAAAACAAGATTCACACAGTTTAAAGGATCTTCTATCTATGGACATTGATCATGTTAGTGATTTCTTGCCTGAGAGTGTCTCTGTGAAATAACCTGGTAACATTAAATGAAGATTACATGGTTGCTTATATTAATAAACATTACAACTACACATACAATGTAAATCTCACAGTAGGGTGTAAGATTTAAATGTCCTCTATATGTTAAGGGGTTAACAGTATGAAATGTTTTTTATACCACCAACAAATTATCTTGCTTGTCAATATAATAAATCAAATAAATATCGATGATATAAAAAAAAAAACAATTGTCTAACCATTGGTGCATTGTGACCCCCTGAGCAGCTACTGCTTTGAATTCTCAGACACTTTATCTTGTCTTTTTTTCTCAGACTGACATTGATGAGTGTGCCAGTAACCCATGCTTTCACCAGGGAACCTGTGCACAAGGAGTTAACAGCTTTAATTGTACCTGTCCCCCAGGCTGGGAGGGAGACAGGTGTGAGAGGATGACAGACATTTGTACCAATACTACCTGTGGACGAGTGGGCACCTGTATCAACCTCTTTAATGATTTCTTCTGCAAGTATGTCCTTCCAAAACTGTTTAACATATGACTGTCAGAAGAATCTAATTTAGTCTCTAATGGGCATCTACAAAAATATGGTAATGCGTAGATTTTTATCTAGTAAATTCTGATAGTCTTTGTTTTAATATGTAAACTGAATAGGTGTATTAATATGTATTTTAAGCACTTATTAATCCCTGTGTTTCAGCTGCACTGCTCCTTTCTATGGCCGTACATGTAGTGAATCCCCTGATGTGTGTGCCATAGCTAACCCATGTATTAATGGAGGAACTTGTGCTGTCTGGAATAACTCCACTAGATGTGACTGTCCACTGGGTAAGTCAAGAATTGCCTGGAAAGTGATGCCTTTATGTTTTATTATGTGATTAATTTGGTTTGCTTATTGATTGGCTTTTACACAATTTTCTGTTGTAAGTGCTTTCATAAATTTGGAAATAGTGGTTAAGCAGCTTTGTAAATGCAGTTTACTATAGAAAAATAATATTTTGTGTCTTTTTAAAGAACGAATCAACATAATTTGACCTTGACCTTTCAGGTTATTATGGTGATGGATGCCAGCTACAGCGTGACTACTGTCTGCCCAATCCTTGCAGACACCAAGGCACATGTACAGTGGACGGGTTAAATTATACATGTGCTTGTGTTCCAGGTGGGGGAAACATGCTTAAAAGTTTTCCACAGTTAATTTTCCTTTTGTCATATATTTAGAGATTTTATAAGCAACCTATCTGGGACTTTCTCAACAAATCAAATTTTTTAGAACTAAAAGCAATTTTCTCTTACTCGTAATTTGACATTGCTCGATCTGTCCCTGCATTTGGATTCAAAAAAATATTCTAATATTTCTGAGTGGGCATGGATATGTTTTACCCCCTTTCCCCATCCCCTGTTTGTATATATCAACCAAATTATATCAAATTCCAGATTATAAATGTAATATTATATATGGTTAAAACTTCTCTTCAATAAGGCATAACACTGTATAAGAAATGTTATTTCTTAGGTTATGATGGCAGAAATTGTGAGGATAAAATTGATTACTGCCAAACCATGCCATGTCCAGCAGGTGCTGAGTGTATCAATGATGTCACCTCCAGGACCTGTATATGTCCCTTAGACAAGACTGGACCACAGTGCAACAAAGGTGAGACAATGGTAAAATATTTATGGAAAATTATAGAAATGTCTATAAATATCACTATCTGTGGTCCATTTTAGATTCATTATAGGTCTGAATTATATATTTTACCCAGAATCAGATTTCACATATACTGGAATCAACTACTTTTTATGCAGAAATTTAATGCCAAATTTAAAGACATTTGTACAATATTTTTTATGTCTTCATTCTGTCCATTCATTTAAATGAAATACAAGTCAGTGTGCTCCTGCACATAACATTTCTTAATACTCAAGGAGGTTTATCATCTATGTTCTATAGCTGTCCAAAGAAATTCCACATTTATTTTCTCCTTTCAGACATTGATAGAGACTTTTCCCTCTGTTTTTACTCAAAGAAGAATGGAATGGCATCCACTGCAGCACCGTTCCCTCTGGGAATCACCACTTTTTCTGTTGGGTTCTGGATCAGGCTTTTTAATGTCAGGGATACTGGAACATTCCTGACTATATATGGTTCTGCGTGAGTGAAGTTTTATCAGTAGAATTTTATACTGCTAGTTTTTGATTAAAAAAATTGCTGTGGTGAAATTTTCAAGAATTTCCTTCTTTTTATATGGGAAGACCATAAAAATTAATGGAAAATATGTATGGAATGATCAAAAATAGGACAAAAAGGTTATTGGAAGAGCAGATTCCTCTCCTCAGCCAGCATTCATTTTATTGTCCCTAAAATTGTGACTTTTTGTCTTCATTCAGCTAGTGGTTCATACCCAAAAGATGGCATCACCTCTCTGATCTTTTAGGTGTCTTTGTCCCTTAAATTGTGAATTTTCTTTAAATAAGAGATACATACTTTTTTCAGGAGCAACACAACAGGAGCCAACAAGACAGTTTTCCTGCAGGCTCACAGTAGCGGCATCAACATCACTGATCAGTACATCCCCTTTGATATGTCCATACTGAATCAGCTTGGGGTACAAGACAGGAACTGGCACTACCTGATGCTTCAGGTGGACAATGGAAGGACAACTCTGTATTTTGATGGCTTTAGGAATCCTACAACTGTCACGGCAGCAGGTGTTCCAAATTAGTAAGTGTGTAGATTTGTAAAGTCTTGTAAGCTACATTTTTAATATGTATGACTTTCGTCAGGCATTATGGGTCAGACTGTCAGATGCACCATTTAAGATATTATGCATAAATTGGTTGACGTCTATGACAGTGTGTGTATTGGTCTATTCCAGTGGTTGGATCATAGTAGGAAGTACTGAAGGCTATGTGGATGGAGGGACGGGAGGTTTTCAGGGCTGCCTGAGTCGTTTAGATGTCTGGAGCAGTCTTGTATCTTTGTCAGATCTTTCTAAATTGTATGAGTTTAGGACAACATTTTCTGTATCTGTTCACTTGATTGCAAGGCCAGTTGAATTCAATCTACAGGGATTAGTTGAGAAAATCTGGCCAAGCAACATCACTCAAGAATATCCACTTCCCAGTAAGTTGTTGATACATGTATTTACTCATTTGCTTTTCTCTCCTTTGATGCAGAATAAAGCCACTAGTTGACATTAATTTAAGTTTTTGATGTTTACTTTTAATAGTTTATTGATTATTTAAAAAATTAAACTGTATGCTTTGGTTAAAAAGCGTTAATTTTAATCCCATTATTAGGCTATAAGCATTGCATTGTGAAGATTGTTATGTGTATAAAACTACAAATAGCTGTGAGACTTTTAACAGAAAAACTATTAATTCTTATAAAATGGAATTACATGTGTGCATTTTAGCACTGGTTTTTACATACATGTATACATTTGAAAGTATGAAAGTCTCAAAAAGACTAGGCCAAAGTCCATTTTCTATTGTCCAGGTGGTGTCCAGCTTGCAGTGTCCACATGTCCAGCAGATCAGCAGGTGGTCAGCAGACAGAGGACAGTGGAGGGGAACTGGCAGGAACCAACATTCCAGGGTCATCTGCCCAGTACTGTCATCTCTAACTACAACAGAAGTAAGGAGCCTTACACTGGGAAGGAAAATTAATTAGTTTGTGAACTTTTTTGTATTTTCTGATGCAGAAATATTGGTTTTTGATGTATTTTTGAATATAAAAACTTTAAATACTGCAGAACTATAGATAAAACTTGTTTTGGACAAGCTATAAGAGATGCAAAACAGCTGTCTGAAATTAATATTTGCAGGTACATTATTGTTCTGTTTATGTTTCAAGATATAAAAAAAGTAACAAAATTTGCAAATGTAACAAGCGTAATATTTTAACAGTATTTAGTAAGTGTTCAAATTCTTAAGGTTTTTTTTTCATTATTTAGGTTCATCCTTTACTTGGGGCAAATATGAAGTTGTCTATTCTGCCTGTGATTCTAAGGGAGACTCTGTCAACTGTGGCTTCAGTTATTATGTGAAATGTAGGTCTTATTTTTTAAGACCTTTTTTTAAATTAAATTAATATAATAAAGCTGTATTGAAATTGTCAGTAGTGAAGTATTGAGATATGCCATTTGATGATAAATTTATTATACAGTTATTTTCTATCAGTTTGATTTCAAACTTCTATCAGTTTTGTACTGATTTATGATTTACACGCGTTGAATGTCCTACCTAAAAAGATAAATATATTTGTTAATGACACATTTACAAAAGAAAGGACACTGAAATTTCAGTTGATGACTGTACGACCCCTGATGCCCCACGTAATGGCTACCAGAACTGTAGCTCCAGTGCAGATGGCCAGTTTAAGACCTGTATGGTGGCCTGTGACCCTGGACACGCCTTCCTTAAACCTGTGCCCAAGATGGGCTACACCTGTGGGCCCTCTGGTGTCTGGGATCGTAAAAACCCACAGGAGAAATTCATCTACCCTGCTTGTGGAGGTAGGACTTGGGGAGATGTGGGAAGGGGGGAGATGGGGCTGGGTTTGCTCCCTTATTCAAGGGTATTAGCATTCCTGGTGAAAAATACTCTATAGAAACCAAATTTTTATTTAATTTAATTTAATTTAATTTAATTTAATTTAATTTAATTTAATTTAATTTAATTATTTAATTATTTATTTATTTATTTATTTACTGATGTCAGGTCCTGGCTTGAATTTTTTAAAAAATTTAACCACATTTGTATATAATTTCTGAATCGATATTTGAGGATCTATCAACCGAATAAACCAAAGATTTTAATCTTTAAAATTATAATAGATGAATGTCATCTTATTTGTTTTTCAGTTTTGGAATCAAGTAAGGTTCGGATCAATTTCATTCTTAGAGTGAGTCTAAGTGGATTCGTTGACTGTAATAATGAGGGGCAGAAGAACACTATGATAGGTAACCTTAGAAACCGTGTCATCACCCTGGCAAACACGTGGCAAGGATTGTGCACTGCTTCATGCGGGAATGTGAAAATAGTCATCACTGCATGTAATACTTCAACAGCAAAGAGAAGAAAGAGGGCAACAGGAGAAGTGGCTACTGTGGAGTTTACCATTGAAAATGCAAAGTAGGCTCACTATGTCTATTGCAGTTTTGTAGAGTTTGATTTTTATAGTCCTGCAATACTGTATTGTATAATATGTATGACATAAGTTTACCTAACCCTTCACACTATACAGCGTAATAATAAAGTGTTGAGTCTTACTGCTAGATATATTACCTAAATGTTCTATGCTTAGCAGGCAACAATATCTTCTCATCAACAAATTGCAAAGTTTCAAAATTAAAATGATAAGAAATATGTAATACATGTGATAATACACAATTGTCTTTTTGACTCTTTAATTCCAGTGAAACACTGTACAATGTTAGTAGTTCTGACAATGCCACTGCAGTTAATGTCATAACTCAAGCCTTGCTGCAAGATGGGCTGTTTGATATTAGTGAGGTAAGTTATTTGACTGTTGAGATGATTATGTTTTGGAACTTAATCCAGTCTTATGTATGGCATTGCCATTTATGAACTGGAGTTACCAATTAGTGACTTTGACTGTTGAATTAATGACACAGAACCCGACTTGATACTCTAATCATTAGTACTGTTACAGTATGCAGTAACAAATATCATTCAGGCCTTTGAATTCTGGCCATCACATCCTAGCTGGGTAACTGGGTCTTGATGAAAACATCAGCTTACCTTTTTCATTATTAATGGAAAAATAGGAAAAAATGTCAGTTCTTTTTAACTAAAATCTCCCATTCAATCTCATATTGAAAATAACCTGCAGTTGAGGTGCCAAACCTATGTGTAAATAGCAACTGACCCTGCTAAAAGCCAGTTGAAACCTGACAATTAAATCTTTCAGAATCAATAAGATGGTGCTCAGAGTCCATACTGATACCATAGGAATATTAGAATGCAGATCAAAGTCATTGATTTTTGGTGATTGGAGTCACTAATTCACACACAAATGGAAATTATGCTTCATGACTCATGAGGCTTATTAATGAGAAGATTCAAATATGCACGTTTATTGACTATACATTATTTGTTAAGAAGCATCCTTGTCAATCTTAACTTCTTGTTTTAAATTTACAGTTACATGTACACCACTCTCAAGAGATCTCATTCTTGAGACAGATATGTTAAATAACTGACAGTACTGGGTATCACAAAGAAACATTTTTAATTGGGCAGAGTATAGATATTTGACTTATTTCTTCAAAGATTGCTAGCGGCACTTCCACAGATACTACTGGGAGCAGTGTAGTTGTTCAGACTACTTGTAATGAAGGTTTTCAAGTTGTTGGCACACAGTGTGGTGAGTAAACTTGACACTGGGAGAGTGAGATTGATCAACTGTATCAAAGAAAATCCAATCTTAATTTACCATGTTTTAAAGTTTTCCAAATTTAAAAGACACTCTTTTTGTGTAATGTAAAAATCTGTATGATAGGTGAGATGGATAAAATATTGCACTGAGAACATGCAATAAACATTAGTATTATTTATTTATTTTTTATTTTTGCGCTTATCCTTTTTGGCAATTTTGTCATCATTACTTTATTTTATATATATAGTGCAATGTACAGTTGGAACCTTATACAATAACAACACTGCCCAGTGTGAAGACTGCCCCACTGGTCAGTATCAGAGTGGAAATGGTCAGTTTAGCTGCACCCCATGTCCACCTGGCCAGACCACTCTGGCTGTGGGTGCTGTTGATAACACTTACTGTGTGGGTAAGTGAGGAGAGATATTCGACACCATTTGTAGTTCTAGTATAGGAGTACCACTTGTACAGATGACAAAGATTTTAATGTAAAAAACTAAATTACATTTCACATGTATACACATGTTTTTCAGTGTGCATTTGTTCATTTGGTACACATCGACTCAAAAGAAAAACTTAAAGGACAAGTTAATAGTGAATATTCTGCTATAGTTAAAAACGAAGTGAGTACACACACACACACACTGACAAACAAGAATTGTACTAGGTATTTCAAGTTCCCCTTGGTATATTTTGATATTTCCAGACCAGTGTGAGGCAGGGCAGCAGTACAATGGCAGTGTCTGTGTTCCCTGTCCACTGGGTTTCTACCAGCCACAGGTTGGTAAAGATTACTGCTTGGCATGTCAGCCTGGGAAAACTACACAGAATGTCAGCTCTGTCAATGCATCACAGTGCTTTGGTAAGCTATCGCTTTATTTGATATTTCCCTCTGAATGTGACAAAGTAATGTTTAGTAAACACTATAAATACTTATTTTTGTCACTGACATTGCTTTCCAGTGGTTAAAAAAGGTTGCTCTCCTCAAGATAACAATTTTATCTAAAGAATAGTGTTCTCCATATATAGGATATAGCGCTATTTAGTGGTGATGAAACTAGGCCCAGATTCCTGTTTATTTGACACAGAGCTAGTCCGCTAAATTTCTAACACTGACTAATATAATATAATACTGCAGATTCCTGTCCATCTGGCACAGAGCTGAGCACATCAGGTGATGGGACATGTGTGGTATGTGACATAGGTTTCTTCAGACTACAAGATGTCCAACACAACTGTGTGGCCTGCCCTGCTGGCAATATCACCCTGAATAATGGAAGTACAAGTGTCCTAGACTGTAACATACGTGAGTAACCACACAGAACTTACATTGTCACTTACTTCCTTAATTGAAAGTCATAGAGAAAACAGAAGAGAGAGAGAGAGAGAGAAGACTTTGTGACCTATGCCTTATTACTTATGAAAGGTTTTGTATTTATATTCCGTGCATACATATAGCTATATCTGATATATATTAGCTTTTCGTTTTCCAATCTCCAATTAAGCCACAACAAACAATAAGCAACACCCTGTACTATTTGACAACTGACCCTGTTTGTAAACTTTCAGCGGCCTGTGGTCCAGGGTCCTTCAGGGACGGCTATGTGTGTGAGGCGTGTCCAATGGGGACGTACCAGGAAGTCAGGTGGCAGACCAGCTGTGTGAACTGTTCTGTGAGCTACTCTACAAGACAGAATGCGACTTCCAACAGCAGTTTGTGTGAATGTAAGATAACACAGTAGAACATCATTTATGTTTGTGTGGGTTGACCCTTTTAGTTATAACATCAATTACACTGTATAAGGAGCAGCTTTTGGGGTGACATATACACTATACATATAGTATATACGTACCCAGTGTGACATATACACTGTACATATAGTATATACCCAGCAAGACTGGTATGTATATGTGAGGAGTTCAGAATTCTCTTTCAGAATTTTTGACCAAAATTCGTATGTAATAATATTGTTTCATTTCATTTGATTGAAGCACTAGCAATAATGTTTTGAATAGGTTATCCATAAATTCTGAGTTAATGCCACTATATTTACATTATCATTTTATCATTTTATGATATGGAATAATAATATTTTATTTTTTTCTTATAAAAGTTTTACAAAGATACAAATGAATTCAATATATGATTGGAAGTTTACTAATACTGTTTTTCAGTTTATTGCCCGGCAGGATATGAAGTGAAACCTACCTCAACTGACTGCGGTACACGCACATGCACAGTGTCTGCTGACTGCCAGGCATGTCCGCGTGCTTACTACAAAGATGCTACTGACAAGTTTGGAATGTGTTTGCCGTGCAATGAGAATTTCACCACTGAAGCCAATGCCACTGTGTCTGAAAACTTGTGTAATGTCCGTGAGTATTGAAGTTAACATTTCAGGTTATATATTTTGGAATGCAATGGTGAAGATAGAATTTGGATTCTTTTCTCTCTTTATGTTTTTTTTTCTTTACGTTTTATGGTCCATTCTTTTTCTCTTCTTCACTCTGCTTAAAGGAACAGAGAACAATTTTCAATGTCCAGAACATTTCTGCTGCTTTTAATGTTAAAAAAAGTACTAAAATCTGAGATAACTCAAAAAGCTCTAAGTAATAAGGCCTAAAATTATTTTATATATTGGGTTTTATTTTATCTACTATTTATTTTTTTTTTAATGTCTGAAAGTGGGTAAAATGACAATAATGGAATTCATTTGTTTGTTTGTTTTTATTTAATTAATCACACACTTGTTTCTTTGTTCCTTTCTAACAAGGTAACTGCTCTGAAGGTTTCTACATCAATGGTACAGACTGCATCCCATGTGATATTGGGTCATATCAAGACCAGAAATGGCAGCCGTCCTGTATACCCTGCCCAGACACACCAGAGGGCGTGAAGACCTCCACTGAACAAGTACAGACCACAAACAAAACTCAATGCAAACGTAAGCTGAATGTTTTCATTATGACTGTCACCTGCAGTGACACTTATGGCTTCTTTTATGAATGTGAAGTTTATATTGGCAAGTATAGAAAATATGGTCCTTTTTTGATACTTTGAATAATACTTGAGAGACAGTTTAAGTCAAGACTTAAAATTATTCTGTGTCCAGAATCATCTCACACTATTCTCATTTGATTTATGTTTAAATTTTGTATTTCACACAATGGAAGCCAAGTATTTAGAAGAATTTAAGCCAAGAATTTAACATATTTTCTGAACAGGGATCTAGAAAAAAATGAGATGAGTTTTTTTTCCTTTAGCTTTCACAAAACCTTTTTATGCTGAGAAATCAGTGCAAATCTTGTTCCCACATTCCCACTTTCGTTCCATATCCAACACGTATATTAAAAGTGGAACAAAACCTTTTTATTTCCAGCATTCTGTCTAGATGGACAGCAGTATAATACCAATTCCAGGCAATGTGAGGATTGTCCTCAGGGATACTACAAGAACAACACAGAGGGTTTATTTGACCAGTGTCGTATATGTTCAGCAGAGTTTGTCACTCCATTTGTTGGTGCCAACTCCTCCAGCATGTGTACACTGGGTAGGTGCCACCCAGCTGTAGCCAGAAATTTTAAACAAATGGGTCTTTTTTCTGTAAAAGCAACCCTTTTTCTCCTTAATTGATCCAATTTGACAGATGACATATGTAGAAGTTAATCAAATTTTGATTCAGATTTTACCTTGGTTGGTCAAAAAGAAGTTTCTTTTTAAATTAATTTTATTTTGTTTTACACTGACAATGATGGCATGGCATGTGGTTCACCAGTTTTTCTCTGTTCTCAGGTAACTGCACAGTTGGTCAGTTTTCAAATGCCTCAGGAGTATGTGTGCCCTGTCCTCTGCATACTTATCAAGACACAAAGTGGCAGACCAACTGCACTTCTTGCGGCCCTGGATTGAAGACGCTGACCACTGGAAGTGTTGAATTGAATGCCTGTAAAAGTATGTACATGTTTCAGTATGATAAGTTTAGAGAGAGAGAGGACTGGGGGCTGTAGAATAAGAAATGAAAATGTTTTATTTATCCCCAACATAAAATGTACTTTGTTTACAGAGGATAAGTAAGTAAGTGACATTCCAGGTACAGTTGTATTTTGTTTTATTTTTGACCCCCATATGCAGCTGTGTGTCTTGGTGCTTGTATTTAAAGGATTGTTAAAAAGGTCATGACTTTCATCTCTGTAGAACTAATGGTTTAGTGTCATATTTAGTTTAATAACATTACTTGCTTTCTAAATTTGTATTTATAGTATCAGATTTGTTCCTATCTCTGGCTATATTGTTATTTTTTAAAATCATTATTATTATTATTATTATTATTATTATTATTATTATTATTATTATTATTATTATTATTATTAGAAATAGAAATTTGTAACGTGTGTTGTGAACAGGAAGCCAGTAGGCACAGAATTTAAGGGGTTGCCTTTGTGTTTACAGGGGTTTGTCCACCAGGTCAGGAGTCAGTGTCAGGTGTATGTGCCCCCTGTCCTCAAGGCTCCTACAAGAACAATGATGATATCAATAGCACTTGTGTTCCCTGTGACAACACCACATTGACCACCTCCAGGAATGGGTCCATATCAAATGATAACTGTACATATAGTGAGTACATGTCAGCTACATCATATTGTGGCTGCTGAAACGCTACTTGGATCTCAAGTTTGTACTGTATATAGGGATTGTGTTTTCCTCAAAGAGAAATTTATGGCATTTAAAGGTTGCAGGGCTTTTAGAATTGCATTTTTTTCTTGGTTGTATCTTTGATTTGCTATTGCTTATCACATATTTAGCTCTGTAGTATATCTAAGGACATATAAAATTTTCAGTAGAATGCTATCAGAATATAATGATGATAGTTTAATGACAAATCACTAGTCACTTTATTTACTTTATGTAATTTTATTTTCCTATTATTTACAGCCATATGTCCAGCAGGTTATGTGTTGAATAATATGACCAATAAGTGTGTGGAGTGTGGGTATGGCTTCTACCAGCCTGTGTCACCACCTATCTTTGAGAAGTGCCTTCCATGTCCTGGCCAGAACCAGAGCACTTTGGTGAAAAATGCCACTCAACCTTCTGATTGTAGAGGTTAGTTTGTCAGCTAGATACCGGTATTTTTACTCCTAACAAAAAATGCATGCATAACATTTTTATGTAAATCTTTTTGTGGAGTGTTTAGAAAAATGATCTAATGTTGCACTTTTAAGATTTTTAATTGCAAGTATTTGACTCTTAAGCTTAGTTATAATGAAATTAATTATTTTGAGCTGTGTATCACTGAAAAAGGTTTTCCTGCAGAATGTGATGGAGGCTGTTAACCAGATAGTCACAAACTAGGCATTTCTTCATATTGATTTATTCAATGTTGAAAACAAGTTTTACCTTATTTATAGCAACCTCAAATCCTATTTTCTTATCTGCTGCCACAAGTGAAGCTGACATATTTTTCACTTGTTTTAAGGGTGCTTTGTTCCCATGAAAATATTTAAATATATTCCTCTTTTTACTCCAGTCTTCTGCCCAGATGGACTTGAGGATGTGGGAGGTTTCTGCAGACCTTGTAGGAGAGGCTCTTACAAGAACAACACTGGGGAGATGGCCATGTTTCAGCCTTGTGAAGCCTGCCCAGTGGGCATGACTACTATTAACCAAGGCAGTACATCTTCAGGGGACTGTAACATAGGTATGGAGTTAACTAACCCAGTAATTTTGCTGCTAAAAGACTTGACTGGTTTTATAGGTCTCCTGTCATTGTTACTCTCTACACCTTGGCCTTATAAATGGATTTGGCATTTACTAATGCTACCCACAGATCTTTTAGCATTAACACCCATATTAACCACATAACCCACAAATTAACCAGCACTACCAGAGCAGATGAATGCTAGTGCTAGGTATCGCTTTGTTAATGCCAAATAATTGTACTCTGTGTTGGTTTATTCATGGGTTTTGTGGTTGATATGGGTGTTGGTGCTAAAAGATCTGCAGGTAGTGTTAGTAAATGCCTAATCCATTTATAAGGCTTGATGCAGTTCTTTGGTGAGGTATTTATCACTGGGGTATCAAAGAGGAAAGATAACACAGGGAATCAAATGTTATCTTTTTCTAAGACTTTAATTCTGGGGGAAACTGTAACATAGGGATGGTATATGTATAGTATGGTACAGGTGCTTGAATATGTTCATAGGTATGGTATTAACCAAACTTGTAATATTGCATGGCAAGTATATACACCAATGTTGCTTAATAAAAGCAGTCTAGACCTGTCTCTGTACACATCTTGAAGTGTACAGATTTATAAAGTTTTGTGACGGGGAGTCAAAATTTCATGGGGGGAGTCATATTTCCATTATGAAATTTTGACTGGGGGAGTCAGATTTTCATGTTACACCGGTTTCACAAAAAAACTTAAGTCAGGTTCCCTGTCTAAGAATTTAATTACCAACATTACATGGTCACATGCACACATTTTATCCTATCAGGAACAGTGTTACAGCACTCTCATGGAAATCCTAGTCAACTAAGCCAGGGAACTGACTTCATTTTTTGTGTGAAACTGGGGCCTGGGGAAAAATTAACCAGCAAACACGAAGTTTAGTACTTTCACCATGTATGTGGTCCTCTGGTTTACTTTTCAGCCAACTGTTCAGCAGGGTATGAGCACACAGCAGACAGACAGAACTGTGTCCAGTGTCCATACGGTCAGTACCAGGCTGAAGTGGAACTGGTCAATGCCACCTGCAAGACCTGCCCTCAGGGACAGAGCACCAGGAACAATGGTTCTTTCAGCAATGCCGACTGTGAGGGTAAGTAGAGTGAAAATTGTGTTAGTTGAGATGGCTGAATTGTGATGATTTAGATGTGAGGGTAAGTAGAGTGAAGATTGTGTTAGTTGAGATGGCTGAATTGTGATGATTTAGATGTGAGGGTAAGTAGAGTGAAGATTGTGTTAGTTGAGATGGT